TTTTCTCCGGTACCGGGAACCGAACTCACGACCTTGCGCTTGCCAGGCAGGCGCTTTTGCCGCTGAGCTAAATCCCCAGCCCCCTGTGTATGAAGTTTTCAAGGGTGATATCCTTATGCCTCTTTAGCCTCACTGCACTGAATACTTGGCCCTGCGCCCCCTGGCGGTGGAGATGGGAGGTCGCTCTCTGGGCAGAGGCTGAAGCAGAGACATCCCAGGAATTCCTGAGCGTCAGACCCCTAATTCCTACCACTAGCAAGGGGCTGCTCCTCTAACATGTAGGACTCTCCACCTCTAATTCATTTATAAATGCTGGAAGGTAAGGGTTTTTTTTAAAAAAGAAATATTTTTGGGAGGTAATAATCCATAATAAACATTAGCAACATGGATGCCTCTGGGCGGGGTGTTTTCACTCAGGAGCTACAGACATTGCATCTTCTGAGAGCCCCGCAGGAGCGAACCTCACGTACCTTTTCCATGTCGTCCCAGTTAGTGATGATGCCGTGCTCTATCGGGTACTTCAGCGTCAGGATTCCCCTTTTGCTCTGTGCTTCATCACCCACGTAGCTGTCTTTCTGTCCCATTCCCACCATCACCCCCTGAAAGGTTTAACATATGACAAGTCAGCCTCTGCTAAACTTGGTGAATTGATTGCTGTCAAACCATAAAGAGTTAAATCATGAGATAGAAACTTCCTTTTTCGGTACTATCACAAATATGAGCTCTATTGTAACTGCGATCTTAAACGGTATCTCTTAGTTTGTTGGAAACAGGTCTACTCAGTCTCCACATAACAAGGGATGCTGTGGAAGAGGTAACTTCATGCTGTATTGCTGCTATCTTCTATGTTCCTTGTTAGGGCCAAGATCTCGTCTGTCTTGTTTGTCACTATAGGAAATGCCTGGCTCACATTTGACACTAGATATTTATTTGTTGATAGAATGTATGAAATGTTAGATGTTAGTTCATTGACATGTTGTTCTTATAAATCTTTTAAACTGTGCTTCTTTTGGTGGGATGGGTTTGAGACAGGGTATCGCATTGTGGCTGAGGCTGGTCCTGAACTCACTATGTCACTCAGGCTGGCCTCGATCTCACAGTGATCCTTCTGCCTCAGCCTCCCAAGTGCTAGGACTACAGGCATGCACCACCATGCCTGGCAATTAACTCTGGTTTTAAAGATGTCTTCTACCCCCAAATATACAAATATTATTTTCTAGTGATTATAAACAAAAGTATCACACTTATAAGTAACCACTTAATTTCTAATGAATAAATCCATACCACTCAACTATTAAATATTTGCCTAGTTACCTACACTTTTTAAGTTAAAATCTAAACACTTCACATTACTAGATTTTAACTTGAACTGGAGAGACTGCTTCAGAATTATAAAACAGATACTACTATGATAGACCCATACATTATTTAGCTTGTGCAAAATCTCTCCCTTGCACATTTAACAAAAAAGACAGACTTCATTTCTTAAAAAGTCTTCTCTGATTTTTTGTGTGAATACATGCTAAGAGGTGAGTTATGAACATCAGTCAGATGGGTCCAGTGGAGATGAAAGCACAGTTTTTGCTGTGTGGTTGCCACTGCTACTTTCTTCACACATGACACGTAAAATTATTTGTGGCTGTCCGGATGGGTTTTGTTGACAGCTACCATCGTATAAAATTACATTTGGTATCAAAGCTGCCTGCGTCTATTAGCAAACTCCTTGAGGTTGAATAACCTGGGATTTTATTTTAGTTTCTTTCCAAAGAGTAGCTATGATATATTTCAGGATAGTTTCAAACTATTTCTAATGATGATGATGATGATGACAATATTTAGATTAAAAAGATACATGAAAAATAGGTAGACTTTATATCTACTAGACAACTACCAAATAATCTGTGTATGCTGGCATTTATTACTTGACACAGATCATCACAGTGATGTGTGTATATATATATATATATATATATATATATATATATATATATATAACTTTTTTAAGACTAGAGATAGGACCTAGAGCTTTGCACATGCTAGGCAAGCATTTTCATTGTATTATACCCCCAGCACTTCATGGATATGTTTTATTTATTTATTTATTTATTTTTGTCTTTTTTTGAGACAGGGTCTCACTCTGCAGTTCAGGCTGGTCTTGAGCTCACTTTGTAGCCCGGGCTGGTCTAGAGCTCACAACGATCCTCCTGCCTCAGCCTCCCGAGTGCTGAGATTACAGGGGTGCGCCACTATGCCTGGCATTTCATGGATATATTTTAAACAAGGCTACATAACTTCCTGGTAGAGAGCAACAACAATTTATGGATGCGTGTAGATGTGGAGAATGTATCTTCTGTCCCTGACTTCTCATTGTTCTAATCAGAAGGGTGCTCACCTGGTGTCTGGGACGCCCCACAATGGATGGGAACACAGCCCTGGGAGCATCGTCCCCAGCGAAGCCGGCCTTGCAGAGCCCAGAGCCATTGTCACACACTAGGGCAGTGCTGTCCTCTTCTTCACACATAGCTGGAGCTGCTTCACAGGGTTCTGTGGAGAACACGGAGCTGTAATGGAGCGGTTGCCCAGCACTAGTTTCTCCCATCTCTAGACTGGGCTAATGGCCCCTGTCTGTCCTTCTAGAAGGAGGTTTGCCCTTATCTCTTTTCTCACACAGCCTTTACCTTCAAGCATCTTTCTCAGGCTGTAAGCTTCCCAAAAGCTGCACTTCTGATTAGCGTGCGTGCACCACGGGCGCTCCGCACAATCCCTGCCCATCTTGTGTGCTCCTCAGCCCTCTAAGGATGGGCCGAATGGGTGAGTGCATGAACAGCAAGAGCCCAGTGGGGAATTCCAGACTGCAAGATTAGATCTTCACAGAGACAAGTTCCTGATTATAAATTAAAGAAGGATCGAGAATTTTCTGCCTATATCAACATAATTCACTTTCTTTTAGATATAATTTAATTTTTTTCATCAAAAAGGTAGATTTTGAGGGATAGGCAGCCTATGAAAATTTGGAAATATTAAAGCATTTCAGTATTCAATGCAAGTATTTAAGAAAAGTCTCTTTTGGATCCTGAGAACTTCCACCATCAGAGAAAATGAATAAAGACGTTCTAAAGTTCTTCAAATATTAGGGCTAGTGATTCTTCTTCATTCATAAAAGTCACTGTTAAAAGCAAGCGAAAACCTGTTGGATTACACGTCACATAGTAGGATATTTGCTACCTTTCAGAAGAATGAGCAAAAGCATAAGCTAACAGGATGTTCTTATATAAGAATAGTAGGTTTGAGGGTAACTTTGTACGATCTCATTAAAGCATATTTTATGGATAAGATTACTCACATCCACCAGGTATTAACTGAGGTCATTCTGAAGCACTGGGATTTGTAGATGCCTTAAATTATCTTCTCTGAATGCTCTCATATGTTCTAAGTTGAGCATGTATGCCTTTGATAAGAATATTTTTAAAAAACTATCTGTAAGCTTAGATTCTTTAACAAAACTTGAAAGGCTAGAAAAGAATCATCAACTTACAAATTTGGAAAATTAAAGGTCTGCTAGAAGGCATTGTCACCAATCCTTCATTTTTACACACGAGAGACCCTAGGTCACAGGGTATTGAGGCAGAACTCTAAGCAGAGATCAGTTTCCCCTTCATTATCCCTTAGCTTCCAATACAGAATTCCTTCCTTTTTTCCAGAAAGGATTAGAAATATTGTGTAAAGAGAAGAATGCTCTGAATTCTCAGCCTGGCACTGACAGCACTGAGATCTCAGGATTTCAGGTTGATAAAGAGAAAAAAGATAACAACGAAACTGAGTTTCAAAACAGGTTAGTAGGACAGTTACAGTAGTTGACACATTACATATTGTTGTCTTCATATTAGTTAATCAGAGTACAAGATATAGTTGTGATATCATTTATATATATTTTTGTTTTTGCAGTGCTGGAGATTGAGCCCAAGATCTCACTCATGCTAGTCAAGTATTCTACCATCGAGTAAATATCTCCCGCTCAAACTCTTCTTTTACGTTGGTGAACTCTTTAAACATTGCGATGTAGGTCCAAAGGCAACTCTTTAAAAATTCTGAGAAGGAAAAAGGAAAACAGCTCTTACAGCTGGAGTTCTACCAGACCATCCCCACAAAACCAAAGCTGCATCATCCCACATGCCCAGAACTTCCAGAGTAGAGCTACATGTAGCAGAACCCTTTGAAAAGAATATAACTCTCAATTGAGATGATGTGTTTTAAGGTCAGGGCATGTGATACTGTCCTCATCTGATAGAACAGAAAAGTCAGGGCAATGGGACTTGCAGAACAGAATCACTATGAACTGGGACTTTGAAGTCACACTGCTTGGATTTGTGTCTAGGCTCCACCACTCTGGGGTTATTTAACATCTGTGAATTACAGTTTCTTTAACTATGAAACAGCAATGATATCCATATATAGCGCATAAAGTTCTTATCTGAGAGTAGATTTTTAAAAATTAATTCATAGTGGCACGTACACTGTGAGTCCTCAATACGTTAGTTTCACTGTCATCATTATTAGTATTATTATCTAATTATGATCATTACCAAGATATTTTGTTTCTAATTTCAGCTGTCCTTCCACGTAATCCTAGGATTAGAACTGCTTGCCAAAATGGAAAATGGGACTTATCAATGGCTTGCCCATTCCTTTCCCACTCTGTCCTTTCTAGAGAACTATATTGTATTTTTTCTCCTTCCTAGAAGACAACAAGCATTAGAAGATATTCTGTGTGTTCGTCAGAGGCAGCCGGCACCAAAGGACCAGTAGGCAGCTTGTGGATGGGCTAAGCAAGCTCTCCAAACAAAAGAAAAAGACTGAAACAAGATAAAATACTGGGCATCAAGATGCTCCCTGAAAGTGAGGAGAAATATCCTGAAATTCCTTTCTGTTGGGCAGGGATGATTTGGTACAAGTGTTTGAACATATTCAGAAGAAGTAGGCTGCCCCACAGCATGAGCAAGAGTGCAGAAAAAAAAAAACAAAAAAAAAAACCAACTTAAAATTCAGTAAATATATTTACATTTGGCAAAAGAGATCCAGGAAAAATTTTATAAGCCCTAAAAGGAGCAGCGTCCTTAGAGAAGTTCCTGTGTCCCCAGAGAGTGCAGACTCAGTGGGGTCAACCCTTATCTAACCTGAATGGGCAGTTTGGTTTGGAGCAAAGCATTTCCTAATTAGGTAAAATACGCTTGCTCCAGTGTCTGCTTTTGGAACTGCACCCGGGTCAGGGGGTTTGCTCCATCCCAGTAGAGTGCATCTGGTGCCAAAAATGAGTAGTTAGTGGGAGGGGAGAGGGCAAGAACATTGCAGTTCCCAGCTTGTTGGTTTTGAATCACAAGCCATATTTAGACATGAATCACAAAACGGAAGGAAAATCTTAGTTTGAAAACTCCGGTCCTGGCTGAACCTGCTAAACCCTGATTTACAGTGAAAATCGGAGTAGGGTGGCAGGGCTGGCTCAATGGTCACATTCACCTCATGAGGCAGAGAGGAATTTGAGCCTGAGATAAATGCAAACCAGACCTCCCCTCTGCTGACAGACAGCAGAGCCACAGAGCTGTCAGAGGCAAGCTCTACTGCTTGGCTGCCTGCTGTTTGGATGCAAAAGGCCAGTACGCAGATGCTAGTAAGTATGCCTGAAGCTACACTGCGGGGATACTCATTTCTAACGCACGACACTGCTGATTAGAGCCAGGGGAACCCAGAAGCAGTACACACATCTCGCCAAAACCAAAGAGTAGACAACGGCCCTCACTTTTACATTCCACTTGCAATCATATCAGCTGCACCGAAAGAGTCCCATAAAAAAGAAAAATCCACACACCAAATCTGAACCGCAAACACATCTAAAAGTTTTGCCTAAATAGAGATAAATGTATAACTTACTATAAAAAGCCAGACTTCCTTCCTATTCTGCGCTGCAAAATCTGGGCTGTTGATTTAGTATGAACAGACTTTGCAGGTCACACGCACGAATAAGATTTCACTCCATCTTCCTCTCCCCCACATCAGACAGTTTATTATCCTTGATTTAACATTAGATCATTAGAGTAAAAAGCTACAATCATTTGAGTGGTATGAGCTTCATTCAATAGTACCAGCGTGCAGGAATCCATCCACATCTCTGCAAGTGTCTGATTATACCAGATAATAAAACAGCTGCCAGAATGCCTAAGTTACAGCCCTGTGCTGCAGCCACTTACCCTGATGGTGCTTGGCTGGGCTTCTCCACACTGGGTGGCTGGTGTCCAGGGAAGCAGAATGGAGCAGGGTTATATAGCCCCTTGGCCTGCTCCCCTCCCACTTGCTTCCCAAACAAGGAGCAAAGACAGACCGGAGCCCAGCGTTCAGGCTAACACAACCATATAGGGACCTCAGCACAAAACTCTCTAATCTGGGTGGCCGAAGGCCTGGGTCTCATCCACTGCATTCCACTGCTCTGCTCATGAAACCGGAGGCAGCTCAGCTGCTTGTGGGAGATAAACAGCCCAAGCCTTCAGAACAACTGCAGAGATGCCAAGGATGCTGGGTTAGTGTCCTGGGGCACATGCAGCACTGCACCCCCTTCAGAGGATGCCAGCCTGCTGTCAAGCTGGCCTTCCAGGCCATTTTCTGAGGAACTGAGAGCAGAAAGGGGCTGTCTCTGACTTCCAGGACTCTTACACACTTTGCTACAGAGGTAGCTTACAATGAAGAAAAATGTTTCTTTGGTTGCCCATAAATATACAGAGGGAGCGATGGTTTTATGGTAGTTACACTGTAATTATAACTCAAGTCTAGGAGTTGCAGTACAGAGACAAGGCTGACCAGCCCATGTTTCATAAAGAGAAACTTGGAAACCAGCATCACTGTAGCTGCTTTAATCCACTGGTACATTAGATATGTCTATTTGTCTGTCATCTAGCAATTTAGCAGTGTGAGTAAGGGTCATCCTTTGGCCCAAGAGATTATTCAGCATCTTATCACAGAAATAGAGAAAAGAGAATGTACAGGGGAAGCCTCCTTATTCTCCTCTGCCCACAAATCCATTTGGCAAGAAGAGAGATCAAGTGATCTTGTCATTTCTCGGTGATATCGGCTCTCATTCTCAAGGGCCAATGGATAGCTTCTGTGGCTTTATATCTCTCTACCACCCTCATCTGTGCCAAGATTTGAAGTAAATTCATAATAGACATATTTTTGATGGATACTGTATTTCTGAACTGCTGACATGTTAGAAAAAATCCTCAAATGAATGGCTTTTTTTCTTAGCTAGGGTCAGCTATTCACTTGTGTTATGATGTCTTATCTGTTTTATTTGTGGCATATACTTATGTAAATGCCCATTTATCTTTAAGGAATTGCACTATTAGTCATTAAGAAAATTTAAACAGCTTAAGACTAACATGACATGATTTTTCTGTATTGCTCAGGATTTTGTTAACTGTGTCTAATTTCTACTTACCAGAAACACAACTGTCTGATGTTCAAACCTAAAGACTGCATGGTACAACATAAATTTGAGTATTTGGGATTAATGCAGTAGTTTTCTTCACAGAGATCATGTTTTCTTGATTAAATAAAGGTAGGATCCTTTCCACTTTTATCTCAGGCAGTGCCTGTGTAAATGTATGAAATGACAGTTTAAAATACTAAATGAAATGACAGTTTAAAATACTAAAAGTAAAAATTTTGATAGCTTACTAATGTATATATCATCTGTGTACATGATAGTAGTGTACATCCATAGCCATGACAACACTCAGACTATGAGGTTGTAAAGGGAACTCGTGGTGTAGTTTTTCTTACAAGTTTTATTTAAAAAAAAAAAAAAAAAAAACCTATGACACTAACCAGGGAGGACTCGTAACTGAAAATAAATTTCGGAGCAAATGATTAATGGTTTCATTGTCTAAATTAGAGATTTACACTTGCATATTTAATCCAAGTCTCTTCGGTGAGAGAAAGCAGCACTGGATGAGTATATGGGTATGCAGAGAAATAGCCACTCAAGTGGCTCAATTTCTCCAGGGGCTGACAGCTGTGTATCCAAGGAGTTGCAGAGCAATTAGGAAAACTGTAGTGTTTCGTGACTTGGTTGTGATTCAGGAAACTATAAAATAATTCCAACTATAAGCACGCATTCAAAAACCATCTCCATAAGTGTTGTTCTACAAACATCACACACCATCTTGGTGCCATTATTTAGTAGTGATTTATTGAAAATCCCTCGAGAGCTCAGGCAACTTTAATCTTCTCTGGGGCTCAGTCCAGAGTTCAGTAAACAAGGGGTGCTCCTCTGCAGTGATGGAGCTGTTCAGTACCAGCACTGTCCAGTGCAGTAGCCACAAGCCACATGTGACTACTGACCAGTGAAATGATGTAGGAATTGAATTTTTAATTTTTATTTGGTCTTCATTAAGTTTCAGTTTCAACAGCTGTGTATTGCTCATGATTACAATATTAGAAGACAGAAGAAAAGCCAATGAGCTTTAAACTCGGCTGCCACTGAAATCACCAGAAGAGCTGTCAGTCATCCCAGTGCCCAGGCTACACTCCCAGACCAATTAAAACAGAGTAAGTGGCGTGGGACACAGATGCCTGATGTAAAGCCCAGGATGAGACCTTTCACAGTAGGACAGGATTCTGCAAAGCAAGGCCTGTGAATTGTCTGTATCAGAACCAAGAGGACAGTGTGTTACTGATGTACAAATCCTCTTGACACAACTCCTAAACTACACTCCTTGGAATCACTTTTTTTTGGTCTTTTTTGAGACAGGGTCTCACTATGCAGTTCAAGCTGAACTTGAACTCACTTTGTAGCCCAGACTGGCCTTGAACTCACAGGGGTCCTCCTGCCTCAGCCTCCTGAGAACTGAGATTACCAGCATTTGCCACCATGCCCATTCTGGAAATATTTTTTTTAAATAATTTTTTAATTTAGAATAGGTTTCAGTTTACAGAAAAGTTGAGAAGATAAAAATGTGGGTTCCCATATATCTTGCTTCCACTTTTCCATATTATTAATATCACGTACATCAGTGTGGTATGTTTGTCACAACTAATGAACCAATATTGATACATAATTACTAACTAAAGCCCATACTTTATTCATATTTCATTAGTTCTTATCTGCTGTTCCTTTCTTGTTGTAAGATCCCATTTAGGACGCCACATTGTACTCACTCCTGTTTCCTTAGATTCTTGACTGCAAGTTTCTTAGATGTCTCTAACTTTCAGTGACCTTGACCATTTTGAGGAGCACTGGTCAGGTATTTTTTAAAATGTCCCTCAATTTAGGTTTGTCTGATATTTTCCCAATGACCAGAGTGAGGTTGTATTTTGGGGGAAGAACCTGGAGATAAAATACGGCACCCTCTCATCACATTGATCAAGGGTTCAGGTTATCAAGGTGGTGCTGATCTCGCACACCTGCTGATGTTTGTCAGACTCCTCTTCTACAAAGTGCCTCTTCCCTCAGTCACTGTCATGCTGTACTCTTTGGGTGGAAGTTATTATGCACAGCCACGCTTAAACAATTGGGATTTACACCTCACCTCCTTGAAGGCAGAGTATTTAAACTACCCACAATATTTAGAATGAGATATCCTTTCCATAGGCTCCTCAGTGATTCTTATTAACACCAAAATTTGAGAACCACTTGCTGTGTTACTCAGCTTTTTCATTGCTAAGACACAATACCTGACACTCAGAACTTAAAGGAGAAGAAATTTAATTTGGTTCATAGTTTTGAGGGTCTTGGTCCATCGTAGTTGGTTGGCTCCAAGACACACACATCATGGTGGAAAGATGTGGCAGAGCTTAGCTCATGGCCAGGAAACAGAGCAGTGGAGCAGGTCAAAGGAGCAGGGAGCCAGACCCTGATCCCAAGGCCGTGCCTCTGTGGGCCACCCCGGGACACCCAGAGGTCTGCTCTACCCGTCTGCTGGGTGGATCCCAAAGCCAGTCATGCTGACACCACACCCTAACTGGCACACGAAATGGACTGCTGAAGGCGATGAAGCCACATGATGTCCTGGGGCTCCTTCCAATTTGACATGATTCTCTGAGTGCGCACGAGATGGAGGATGGCTGGGTTTGTTGGGCTTCTGTGGGAACTAGCTGAGAGTCAATTATTTAGTCTAGAAACCAAATCACAGATCCTTTGGATGCAAAACAAAGAATAAATATAGAATTGTTGATATTACCACTGTGGAGTGTTTGGGAGTTGGACCACAGCATCTTGGAGGAGAAAAGAAAAACCATAGCAAGAAGCAGATAGATAGTGCTTTGAACTAAGTCTCAGACACTGTGAGGAAAAGCTCAAGAAGTGGAATCATGAGCTATATCAACTAGAGGGATGGGCATGTTGTGAGGGGAAGAATTCTAGAACATACATGGCCGTGTGCAGAGGACCACCAGGGTCTGCCAGTAGTACATGGCACTTCAGAGCTACAATATCATAATTAATAGGGGCTGGGGATTTAGCTCAGCAGCAAAAGCGCCTGCCTGGCAAGCGCAAGGTCATGAGTTCGGTTCCCGGTACCAGAGAAAAACAAAACAAACAAACAAAAAATCATAATAATAGTGACAAATATTTACTAAGAAATTAGTACATAGCAGGCACTCATTTAGCATTTTGCTGTCAACTTTATTAATAATGGATCGATTTTCAATTAGGCTCTGGAGGCTGACAGGGTTTTAAATAAACTTACCATTACTTAGATTACTTTAAGATTCGGACTCAGTTCTGTGTAACTTTGGACCTAAGGTTAAAGTAAAGGAGAAAGTCAACTATATTCTTTGAGGAACAGGATATTCCCAAAGATACCTGAAGGATGTACTGTATATAAAATAGGAAAGAAGCAACAGTGCTCCTGATGGGAAGGATGGATGAAGGCACCACTCCTAGTAACGTCCCTGACTTCAGAAACAGGGCAGAGGCAAGCTGAAGAAGAAATCAGCAAGGGTTTTGGAAAATAATCTGCTGAGAGTGTGTGGTACACAAAGTAATTCAGAAACTCCTTTGTCACTACTTGATACTTTGAACTAACAACAAAGCTTTCTACCCAAGAGGAAAGCATTCTATTGTTGCTGCTTACGAGACACAGAAAGTCTGTTTTCTGGATCATTGCTTGGCCTTGGCAAGGCTGCATTTAAAGTTATTCATTTCTCAGGGCAAAATCAGTACAGTGTTCAGTTTTATTAATCAGAGCCATAGCCAGTGACGAGTGGCAGGGATTGTGGGAGGCCCAGGAGCCTGGCCACACACAGGAGCGCTCTGAGTAACTCAGAATGTTTAGTCAGGTGCTTGCTTTGGCAGCGTGTGTACC